CATAACATACAAGCACATATACACATTCCTTGGACTAAAAGCTACAGGCACACACACTCCACACAGCACACATTCACATACACTGCATACCACACACATGTATGTGCATACTTCCAGGAATACTCAAGATCACACACAAGAACACATACAGTGCCACAAATGCACACACATGCATTTGCATGAATACGCACACCAACACACAGTGGTTCATACTATACTCCCACCATACATACCACATATACTACACACGTATTCCATAACATACAAGCACATATACACATTCCTTGGACTAAAATAGCACTGATTACGGTGCCCAGGTGGGCAAATAAAACTACAGGTGAAATTGAATCACATGCTCACAAACATGTGTTCATGTGCATTCGTGTAATTTTGCACGTATCTGTATATGTGTGTGGTATATGTGAATGTGAGTGTTTCAGTTAAATTGAATATTTGGGGCATAAATACATCCCAGGAGATATCCGAGAGACACACTAGAAAATTATTGACTGATTATTTGAAATTCAAATGGCACCTGCAACCTGTATTTCTCCCAGTCACCTTGGAGTTCCCAGGATCCCCTGCCTCCATCTTGCCCCACTAAGATCAAGTTTCTCTTTGTTTCTGGAGAGGTGTTCTTTGGGGCTGACATGTGAACCGCTCAGATAGCCTGCAGTCAGTTCAGGGAAGGAATGAGATATTTTAAAAGATCGCAGGTTTACACATTTTAGCTTCAGGTCTGTAAGTGGTCAGTCTGATGACATAGGAGGGGGCTTTGATCATTTGCGGGAATTCATGGTGGGGGTGGGGAGCAGCTGCATGGTAGCCCGTGAGCATGGCTCCCTCTGGAGCCCACACTCAGAAACACACAGCCTGAAATCCCTCTTTGGGTTCCTCTGGACCCCACACCACGCAACCTATGATCTGCTGTCTCACCTCAGGCCCTTCTGGATCTCCACCGTGATTCCGTCCCTCAAAGCCACACCAACTGTGAAGGTGTTTAGGGACTTCCAGGTCAGCAGCTTTTCCAAGTCAACCCATTTCTCATCTAGAAGCCGTTTCTTTCCATGTTTATTAGATTTCACGTCTAATTAAATTCTTTTAAAATAGCAAATCCAATAGGGATCTGGATTTGGGGAAAATGTAGGTGACATTAGAAGGTGTCCCTCCCCTGTGGGAAATCCCGAGGTAAGTGTATCTGCCAGTGAATGTTTGTGAGGAAGAGAGACAGCTAGTTTGGCCATAGGGGTGGAGGTTGTTAGGATGCCTGTCCTGTCATTCAGCAGGGACAGCAGGATGCAGGCTGCCAAAGCGTTGGATGAAAAGGGCCACTTTCTTGGGCTGTGTGTCCAGCCAGCAGATTCCCAGCTCTGCCTGTGATCTAGGCACCGCTCAGACCCTGGGACACCCAGGCACTCTTCGGACAACCAAGAACATGACACAAGCAGGAGGGCAGTGTCATCTGCTGGGAATAAGGACTCAGGACGGAGTGATGGGCTGGGAAACTGTGATGGATAATCTCAGCTGTCAGTTCCATACCTTGGAAGACAGAACCTTAATTGAAGACATGCCTTTGCTAGATTGGCCCGTGGAACATTTCTTGATTGTTATTTGAATAGGAGGGCCCAGTCCACTGTGGGAAGAACCACAGGTGGGTCTGGGCTGTATAGGGAAGGTAGCTGACTGGGAGCCTGGGAGCAAGTGAGTGGTTTCTGCTTCAAGTTACTGCCCTGCTGGGGTTCCTGCCCGACTTCCCTCAAGGATGGACTGCAGCTTGTAAAATGAAATTCACCCTTTCTTTACCAAGTTGCTTTTGGTTGTGGTGTTAGCAACCGAAACCAAAGCAGAATAAAAACTGGTGCTAGAGATCAGGGGTTCCTGTGACAGACCTGACCATGTTGGGTTTGGGGAGGACTGTGGAAGCATTTGGGATTTGGGGTTGGGAAACCTTTGAGAGTTTACAGCTTCATGAGAGAAATTCAGATGATGGAGGCTCGGCCAGTGACGTTTCAGAGGAAAGTAAAGGCCCTTTGAGGATCAGCTATGATTAATAAGAAATTGCTTTACTAGAACAATGGATGGTGGTCAGCTGATGTTGAAGGCTCATCTGTGATTAATAAGAGACCAGAAGCATACAGGTACAATTTTCTGGTAACATGCGTCCTCAGGGTCAGCACACAGAAGCTGTGGTCCAAGAGGACCACAGTTATATCTTAAGCTGCCAGTCAAACTTGGCAATGTGAAAGAGTTTCCCACATGGACCTAGTTTTGAAGGAACTAGAGATTCAGGATTGAGGGGGTCATTGAGAGAAGCTGAGGCCTGGTACTGTGTGACGTGGTCAGAATCTCTGAAGAGAGGCCAGGAGAGGCCTTTGGTGGAAGTGCAGCCTCAGTTGCAGTGGAGACCCTAGGATGCTGGAGATACCAGGACTGTGGGACATCCACAAGGACAGCAGCAGTTGTGGGGCAGAGGCAGCCTAAGCCCACTAAACACTGTGTGTGCTGAGGACGGCAGAGGTAGAGACGTGGAGCTGCTCAAGACTTAGAAGAGGTCCAGATCATGAGTGCGTCCTGGATGCTGGCTACTGAACGGCAAGATTTGGAGCTGAGCTGCTGGATTTTGGTTCTGCCTAAGTGTGATTGTTTTTATGCTCTTTTCCCTTTTGTGACAAAAGTATTTAACTTGCTTCTGATTTTACAGAAGGCTGTAGTTAAACAAACTTTGGACTTTTAATGTGTTTAAATTTTTAATGACTGTTGGACTTTTAAAGTTGGACTATTTTAAAACATTTTTAATGTGTTTGAGTATATTGTCTACATGTGTGTAAGTGCACCCATGTTGTGCAGTGCATGAAGAGGTCAGAATCCCCTGGAACTGGAGTTACAAATGGCTGTTAGCTGCCACGTGGGAGCTGGGAATTGAACCCAGGTCCTCTGCAGGAACAGTCAGTGCTCTTAACCACTGAGCCATCTCTCTAGCCCCATAGTTGTACTATTTTGTATTGTGATGTTAATATGAGATCTTGAGGACGAGGAAAGTTTGTAGTTTAGTAGTGATGTGTTTGTGTCAAGTTGACAAGGGGTGAACTTCTGACGGCTAATCTTGGTTGTCCACTTGAAACACTTGGGAAGAGGGTGCTTCAGTTGAAGAGCTTTCTCTGTCAGATTGGCTGTGGTCATGTCTGTGGGGGCATTTTCTTGATTGCTAATTGATGTAGGAGGGATCCACCCACTGTGGGTGTTACCATGCCGAGGTAGGTGGGCCTGGGCTGTATAAGAAGGGTGGTTGTATGTGAGCCTGGGAGCAAGCCAGTAAACAGCATTCCTCCATGGTCTCTGCCTCAGTTCCTGCCTCCTGGGTCCTGTCTTGAGTTCTTGTCCTGACCTCTCTCAATGATAGGTTCTGACCCAGAAGTGTAAGATGAAGCAAACCCTCTCCTCCCCAAGTTGCTTTTGGTGATGGTGTTTATCACAGCAACAGAAAGCAAACTAGAACAGAGATGGAGCAGCCAAGGCTATAGAGAAGGCTGCTCTTGGTGTACCTAGGGAAGGCAAGCTGTGAGCCAGGCCCCTGTGCTGATGCTGGCCACAGTCCAAGAGGCAGGAGGGGACCCTGGAAGCCATCATAGCTACTGCTGAGACTTCCAGGAGGATGGTGACCAGTGTGGTAGTGTCCAGGACTCATCAAAGCTAAGCTGACCACAGTATGGGAGGAGAATGTAGGAGACACAGTGTCCCGGTGACCTATGGCCCAAGGATAATGGCCAGGTGTTCTGGGCTCAGCTTCTCAGAACAGAGGTGGGTAGGACTTGCTCTTTGAAGCATAGGCCCAAGTGTCTGTGGGGCTCAGGGACTAGCCAACAGCATGCGTAATGTCTCAGAAAGGTCGGCAGGGGGCACCAGAGACCTCTGGATTACTCTGATTGCCATGAGCAGTACCCAGAGGCCTCAGTTCAGCAGGGCTTGTTTACGTGCAGGCAGAGCCTCCTGAGGCCTTGAATGTGTACCCCACAGGGGTTACTGTGTGGGGCAGGGGAAGAGGCTGGGGACTTCACTATATGGTGCTGTACCTGGACCTGGCCCTTGGGAGCTTGTGAATCAATTCTGCATTTTTAGAGGAACCCTAGCTCTTACTAAAGAATGAGGCCAACTGTTCTCCCCACCCAAGAAATAAGACCATTCACATGGGTCTCAAAGACATTAAAATATTTAAGATTTTTTTTTGTGTGTGTGTGTGTGTATACATGCCATAGTGTGTGTGTAGAGATCAAAGAACAACTTTTGTTTCGTGTTTTGAGACAAGGTCTCCCTGTAGTCCCATTTGGCCTGGAACTTGCTGTGTAGACCAGACTGTCCTCAGTCTCACAGAGATCTGCCTGCCTCTGCCTCCCAGGTGCTAGGATTAAAGATGTGCACACCATGCCCAGCCCAGTCAGAGGACAGCTTTTGGGAGTTGGTATTACTCCTTCTACCATGTGGGTCCCAGGGACTGAACTCAGGTCATCAGGCTTGGCAGTGAGCACTTCTACCTGATGATCCATGTTTCTGGTCCTCCTTGAAGTAATTCTGAGTGGGCTGCAGGAGAGAAGTGATAGAGGGATGAATGGGGTCAGGGCAAAGGGAGTGTGCTCCAGGAACAGAGTGGCAGTGGGCCTCCAGGTGGACCAGGGAGAGTCCCTGTTCAGGCCAGGGAGATAAGTGGCTTGAAGGACTCAGGTAAAGAGAAATTTTGTGTGTGTGTGTGTGTGTGTGTGTGTGTGTGTGTGTGTGTGTGTGTGGCAGGGGAAGGGTGTGGCCCAGTAGGTATGGGAGACCTGGGAGGTGACTGACCCTGATAGGCCAGCATAAGTAACTAACAGAGCTGATGGTGGGTTTGGTTTAAGGTTTTTTTTTTTTTCTGCATAAAAGTAATAAGTTAAGGAAAATGCACACCCAGAAAGGAGGATGAAGTGTACATACACCCATAGTTTCCTCTCTCAGACACAACACGGCTTATTTACTCCAGACTTCCATGAGCAGGCTTCCATTAGAAAGAGTTTTAAAGGCACGGCCTGTTTCATGTGATGCCATCTCTCTAACATCACAGATGTCTTTCCATGCCACCTCCAATATGGGCTCGTCAGGGTGGATGGTGAGCATCACCCTCTGGAGAGTCCCTGATGGCCTGATGCTCGGGCTCAGGGGCCTGTGCCCCTGGACTCTGACCAGGTTCCTTTCTCTTTGTGAGGCCCTCTGCCACTCTGTTGAAGTAAATCACAGCCATGATCACAGTTATGCTGAGTCCTGAGTGTCCTTCTCATGAATCACAGGCCTGGGGGTGGACTGCCCCCAAAGAAGCTTGACCTCCTGCAGCACAGGGGCTAGGTTCTGGAAGTGAACCCCTAGTCTATCTGCTACAATCCAACATTACTGGCCCATACTACCTCTCCAGGTCTCCAGTTAAATGTAGGGCATTGATTGGGAAAGAATCACTTGAAGATGGGATTTGAGGGTTAATTACAATGACTGGGACCCATGGGCAGTATAACTCCAGAACAGGGTTCCGAAACCCTTGAAGAGTCCTGGGGTGGTAAAGAACACTGGAGGCCATCACCCTGGACGTGGGCCCTACATCCATCAGGGTGCTGGGACCCCAGGGACACAACGAACATCACCCTGGACATGGGTCTTGTTTGCATTAGGGTACTGGGAACTCAGTAGTGGGGTCACAAGGCTACATTTTCTTGGAGAGACAGGTTGGTACAGGTTATATAAGTATATAATGACAATGGCCTGAGTTGAACCGCCCCGTTGGCTACTGGGATCCCTGGGGCTGGGACAGTCCCTTTCCAATTAGAGACTTAGAGGAAAGCTCTAGTCAGGGGAAGGAGCCCAGCTTGGCCCCACACTCCGCCCCTGCCTGCTCCTCAGGTGTCCTGAGTGAGGGGTTGTATACAGGCCTGCTCCTTCTGCTTGTCCTGCTGGGGAAGCTCTGGGATCACAGAGCCCCTTGGCACAGGAGAGGGATCGCAGAAGCCCCATTATCGGCCTTACAGTGGCTCTCCCCATTGGGAGAAAGCTGGGTGTTGGAAGTACCCAGGCTGAACTCAGTTTTAGAGATCCACAGATGGCAATTTGAGATTTGATCTGTAGTCTGGTTCCCCCAGCTGCGCCCACAGCTCTGCTTGCCAGCAGGGAGACAGAGGCCCACAGTCTTGTGCCTGGGGATGAAATATTCAATTTGATGTCTCAGGCGGGGTGATGTTTCCTTCCTCGTCCCCAGCGCTCCTATAAAGAGGAGCCTGAGAGCTGGCAGTGGCCCCACACAAGCTGCAGGCTGGGCTGAGTGGACGGGACAAAGAGGTACCTGCTGCAGGGTTCAGACGGCACTCTCCAGATAGGGTGGACTAGGGTGTGAGGGATGGGGAAGTTATTTCTTAAAAAGTCAAAATAAGTGAGGCATCTGAGGTGAGATTTCATCTCAGAAACAGATGTGGCTATGAAAATGCTGGGGTTCCCGTGGGTGGCAGGATGGGCTGGTCCTGGGGGTGGTGGTGTTCCCATGGGTGGCAGAGTGGGCTGGTCCAGGGGGTGGTGGTGTTCCCATGGGTGGCAGGATGGGCTGGTCCTGGGGGGTGGTGGTCTCACCCCTGGCTTCCTCCTGTGGCAGGTGCGTCCCCTGGTGCTCTGGGGAGGATGCAGGCCTGTGTGCTGAGGGGACTGGCTCTCGGTGTCCTGTTGGGGGTTCTTGCAGGTGAGGGGCCACTCTGGGCTGCAGCCACGGCCCTGCTGCCTTCCCGTATCTCCCCTCTGCACTGTCCTTGTCCTGCACTGGGCAATGGAAGGTTGCCCTGAGTGATGGGTCTCCTCTTCCTTTACAGGGGCCAAACCAATGCCAGAGGAAGCAGGTATACTTTGACATCTTTCCTTTCATTGACATAGTTAATGGTGCATCCAGGTGGGTTGGGGAGCAGAGGTTCTGACCCCTAGAAAACACAGGGGCTGCTTACCCCCTGGCAAGCAGTGACTCGGCACCAGCAGACGCAGAGCAGTGGGATCCTTGCCTCCTGGAAGCACGACACGGGTCCTGCTGCCAGCACGGAGCTGTGCCTGCAGGGAGCCAGGACAGCATCAGGCTGGCCTTGCCTGCTACCATTTCAGACCACCCGGGGAAGGAGGGAGCCAATGAGCCCTCAAAGTTCCACCCTCATCCTGGGTTCAGACCCTGGTCCGTCCCTGGAGTCCCAACTCAGTTCAGTATCACCTGGGTGGACAAGGGGACTGTGTTCTCTGAAACCCCATTAGCATGCTGCCTATGCCCCATGTCCTCACGACCCAGTTGTCTTTCTGCTCTGCATCTCCCCAGACAAGGGTAGGACTCCCTGCTCTTCCCTCCCTCTCCTCTTTCCTGTCCACCAGATCAAGTATCCCAAAGGGAGAGGGATAGCCAGGACTCAGACCTCACTCCTGGCTGAGGTGATATCGCTGCAGGCACTGCTGGGTGCCACCCACTTGCCCCAGGTCTGTGTGGGTTGTTCTTCAGTCGGGGATGGTGGGACAGCCCCTGAGATGGTGACTTGTATCTTTCAGACCCCTACGCTGAACCACCAGCCATGCCCTACTGGCCCTTTTCTACCTCTGACTTCTGGAATTATGTGCAGTATTTCCAGACCATGGGCGCCTACCCCCAGATGGAGGACATGGCCCGTACCTTCTTTGCACACTTCCCCTTGGGGAGCACCCTGGGCTTCCATGTCCCCTACCAGGAAGACTGAGCAGTATCCATTCTGCTGTCTGCCTGGTTGCACTGGCTGGGTCCTGAGGCAGTCCAGAGCCACAGTGTTGGGCAAGGGGTGGAGCTCGTGCTCAATAAACTCCATCTGAAGATGCACAGCAGACCTGTGGTTCTTTCAAGACACGGCTGCACAAGGTCCCCTCTGTTTTATGACTCCATGAATTAGCTGGGCTTTATTTTGATGACTGGTGAGCATGCCTTTAATAAACATGTACATGATTTCCATCCATAGGCACATCAACCAGGGGTCACCTGTCCTTCAAGTCTCATGATCCTCTGGGGGTGTGGGTTGCAGTTCCACCAGATTATAAGGAAGAAAGCTGAGGCAAAGACACCATGGCACATCAACCAGGGGTCACCTGTCCTTCAAGTCTCATGATCCTCTGGGGGGTGTGGGTTGCAGTTCCACCAGATTATAAGGAAGGAAGCTGAGGCAAAGACACCACGTACAGCCTGACTTAAGGCCATGCGCCTAGTTAGATGAGCTGGACTGTGTCCCTGGCAACCCCTCCCTAGGCTCCCAGCATTCACCTCTAGGCCAGGCACCTATGTTCAGTGCACAGCACATTCCTGAGAGCAGCAGGAAGCAAGGAAGTCAGATGTGAGGGAGAGCCATGGCCCATACTTGGTCTTGCAGGGAAGACTTCAGGCTGAGGCTGCTGGAGAAGGGGATGGCTGCCCTGGGTGGCCTTGTGGGCACAGAAGGGTGGGCAGATAGTGGGATAGCCTGAGTATGGGTGGTGAGCTTCCCCCACACATGCAAGGCAGACAAGCCAAGAACACATTGGTTAACTCCACATACACACTAAGGGAGACACTGAATAGCTCCTCTTCACCATCCTGTCTCAGCCTCCTCAGCTCAACCTTTACCTGAGTGCCTTAGGGTGACAGGCACTGACCTTGCATCTGAGGCTCTCCAGTCATTTAACTTCTGCCCTACCCTGCACAGTCCACTCAGGGAGAGGGGCTGTCCAGAGCACTCCCCACATCTTGGCTGAGTTACTGTTTCCCTGGAGCCACCCCAACCCTTGATACTCCAACCCCACCTCTAGCAGCCCAACTCTCAAGCACTCTAATTCTTAAAGTTGTTAAAGGGGGGGGGCGATCCACAAAAGGGTTCACTGACGCTATCAGGGAGTCTACACAAAACCACTGTGACAGGTACAAGGACCACAGCCTTGCTGAGACTGCAGCAACTGGGCTCAACCACATAGACAAGTGGGGACTAATAGCCAAGGAATAGGTGGAGGTGGGTGGGAAATGACTAAGGGGTAACATGGGATTCTTGCTGAAGGTAGGCCAGATGACATCATCTGGAGATGGTGGAGGATGAGAAGCCTCGTTGGACTTGGTGTGGCCCTGTTATCAGTGGGGTTGTGTGTGGGCTTCTTGCTACTCTGACTCAGGGATCCTTGTTAAACCTGGGTTGTATAAGGCGGTGCACAGAGGGGTCTAGGCGAATGTTCAGGAGTCTGACTAGAGAGTCACTAGACAGACTATCTCAGGCTCTGTCTCTCCAAAAGATCCCGCTCTCCTCCCTGCTCCCTTCACTTCTGTTCCCTCCTTTCTCTCCTTCACATTCTCAAAAATGGCACAACATGACACTATAAAAGTACCAAGCTAGCCATTTCTCAGCACAGTCCAGCGATATTAAGGGCATGGCGGCCATCCACCTCCAGACCCCCTTCCACCTTCCACAGCTGAAACTGTGTCCACCGAGCACCACCCTTCCCTAGCCCCAGAGTCTCACACAGTGAAATCAGTGTTTGCTTCTTTTCACTTGACGTAAGGTCCTCAAGGCTCATCCCCGTGGGTCAGAAATCCCTCAGTTAAGACTCAACCCTGTTCACTGCATGGATAAGAGCCCGCTTTGTCCGTGGGAGCACCTTTCCACGGGCAGGGTACGGGCCTGCCTCTCCCTTTAGCTACGTGCGCCTGGGCGTGCAACGCCGCGTCAGATCCTGGATCTCTTGCATGGGTCTCGTCTGAGATTGGGGGTCACGGCCACTCCGCGGTTTTCCGGCTGCTGTACCATTTCTTCCCCTTCTCGCAGGCCGGAAGAGCCGGCATCTCCGCCTTCTCGCCAACATCTGGACAGCAGCGTCCTGATGGTTTGGTCTGCAGACTGATGGTCGGGGAGCCCTGCCTCTCCCTTCCTCCGCGGGCCCTCGCGCTGGTGGCGGCGTGGGTGCCGTCCGCGCACAGCCGTCCTGACAGCCGCACCGCTCCGAGGAGGCGGAGCCGGAGCACGCTGGGGCTGGAACCACCGAGACGCGGCCCTCCGCCGTCTAGACCTGCCCGGGGGCGCGAACCGGAAGTGGACGGGGCCCGCCGGAAGTGAGCGCAGCGCTGGAGATGAAGCCAGCTGTGGATGAAATGTTCCCCGAGGGAGCCGGGCCCTACGTGGACCTGGACGAGGTGAGGCGGGGTGGGCAGGCCGGGGCGGGGACGTGGACACGCGCGGGTTCCCACGGCCCGGGAGTCGGGGAGGCTGTGCGCCCCGTGGGAGCGGACACGCGCGGGGTCCCAGCCCTTGACGAGTGAGGAGCTGCCGGTGCCTCGAGGGAGCGCGGCCCGCGGATACGCGTGGGCAGCTCACGCCGGGGGGTGGCGGGTCCTAGTTCCGAGCCCCCGGGGTCTGGGGGGTTCGAGAAGTTGCTGATGCCCAGCTGCTGGCGGTGTCATGGCCGGGGTTGAGCCCGTGTTGAGGACCCGTGAAAGGGAAGTCGGGGGAGTGGGGTTTGCCTGCAGACCGGTCTCTGATCCGAGCTCCTCGCAGATCTTAGAGAGTCCAGAGCGAGGCCTGCAGACTGCCGGGTCATGGACCCTCAGCCCTGGGAGAAGGCCCATGGGAGGTGGTTGGCTTTGTGTGCTGTGTCCCTCACCTGCAGGGTTACAGAGGCGATTTTGTGTCGTTGTTTAGCACCATGACCGTAGACTCTGGTACAGGTGTTCCTGTTCCAGTGGATGGTTTACGGTCCTGAGGTCAGCCCCACCTCTTCTCTCACAGCTTAGCTGGTAGAGAGATGCTCAGATGTAGCCTCTGCCCTTAGGGAGGTGAGGTGTGGTGGGAGGAGGCCGATTGTAGATCCTGAGTGTAAGAGGACGTTGGAAGTGCCTTGCAGACGAACCCATGGGGCTTTGGGTGGCTCAGCAAGGCTCAAGAAAGGAGCTCCGGTGTTGTCCTGTGGATAGCGATGAAGACAGCCCAGGATCAGAGCCCTGGAATGATGCCCTTCCACTCTAAAGGAAAGAAACACCTTGTGGTTTACCATGGAGGAGCTTCCAGTTCAGAGAGGGGAGAGAATGGGCAGGGCCAATCATGAGGCCTGCAGAATGCCCAAGCAGGGCCACTACCTGACACCTGCAGAATGCCGGGGCAGGGCCACTGCATGAAGTCTGCAGAATGCCAGGGCAGGGCCACGTCATGACACTTGCAGAATGCAGGGGGTGGGCCTCATCACTAAGCCTGCAGAGTGTCTGGGTTCTGCGATCCACCACTGAGGCACATGCTCTCAGCCCCAACTCCTCAATCTGGCAGCATTACAGTGGGAGAGACACGCCAAACTTCCCATGGAGGTTGGTACTCTGGAGGGTTTGGAGCTTGGATTTGCTGAGAGTAGAGAAATAGAAACAGGAAGAAAGGAGACTTAAAGAGGGTTGAGGGAGGCAGTGGAAGTAAGAGGAGCTGGACCTGGATTTCAGAGGCAGGCTCTGATGGCTCACTGTGATGACCAGTCTGGGTACGGAGGTTGAGAATCCCAAGAACAGCCACCAAAGGGAGCACAGGAGAGCCAGGGAAGAGTTGAACTAGGAGCCCAGGCAGAAGGTGTGTGGACCAGCTGTAGAAGCCTCTGTTCCTGCTGCCCCCAGGCAACTGATGAGGCATAAGGTCCTGAGTGCATCACATTGCACAGTGTGTGTGACACAGTTGTACGTGACCTGGTTTTATCACCACCATGGAGTTGCAGCAGTGGAGGGTCCCCTGGGAGCAGCCTCCCAGCCCTCAGGCCAAGCCAGATCTGCTTCCCAAGGAAAATGGTTGCATTATCAGACATGAGGCGCATTGCCAGTGATGTCATCGTCCAGGAGGTGATTGGAGACTCCTGAGAGCACCACACAAGGCAATGGAAAGTCTCTTTTTAAAAAGCCAAGGAAGACTCAAAGAACACAGGACCTTGAGAGGCCTTAAAAATGTGCATGGATTTCCCTTTCATACATACGTTCTTTGTCTGGAAAATGCTGTCTCCAGCTTGAATACTCTTCCTGTCACTCAGTGTTCTGTTCTAGGGAGGTGGGATGGATGTGGTAATGAGCCTGTCACCTACTCTTAGAAAACAAACACGTAGCATAACCTTACCTTTCATGTTCTTGGTCTCCAGGCTGGAGGCAGTACTGGGCTCTTGATGGACTTGGCAGCCAATGAAAAGGCAGTTCATGCAGACTTTTTTAATGGTAAGTATGGCAATATCGGTGCCAGGTTTCATCTGAGTTTCCTCTGCAGGTTAACACAGTCAGGCAGCTTTGTGACACAGATAATTTGAATCATGGAACAGTGGAGCCAGACCCTGTGCTGTTCTCAGTACAGTGCCAAGTGTATGATGTGATCACACAGCTGTTAGCACTAGCACTCAGCTCCATTGAGGAGAACATAGCATGGGATTCTTCCCAGCTCACTTCCCAGAGGTTGAGTTTGAGCACTGGTAGTGTTGGTATGTGCTGAGGAACAGCTGGGATTGTGGCAGGGTCTGGAGCCATCCAGACCTGGGCTGGGAACCTGCCTGGCTGTCTCTTGTCTCTGCTCTCCTCTGATGTTCCTTCTATTCCCTTTTCCTCGTGCACACTTGTTTGCCCACTTGGATTCTTGTGCCCTTGGCTGCCTTCACAGTGTAACACTGGGCTCTGGCTTCAGCCCGCCCTGTGTCTGAAGTCAGCATGCAGAATATACCTCCAGCTTATATTTAAGGGTTCTCTTGCTAGTCACCCAAAACATAGGTGTTGTCTTAACAAACGGCGAGAGCTGACTGTAAAATCTGCTCTGGAGAGTAGTCGTGTTTTCCTTCCATTTTAACTCCCTGATGTAACTCCAAAGAGCTTCTGTACTAATCTTGCCATGCTGGTTTCTAACTTCCCAGGGGCTCCCAGGTGGTTTGGTGGCTCATTGGCAGGTGGTTGTTGGCCTGAGTGGGAAAGCCAGCTGCCAAGCGAATGTATTCCTCCCTGGGACCTGCTGCTCTCCTAAGGCATCCTGGGGGTCATCGACTGGTGTCAGAACTGGGCGAAGTGACATTGAGGATTTGGAGAGGCCTTTCTCTAATCTGAGGAAGGGAATGGATGGTGCAGGGCTGCCAGCTGCTCTCCAGAGTGGCCTTGTGAGGACTCAGCTAGTGCAGGGCACCTCGGGAGGTTCCTTGCTGTGCAGGGTGTGTCATCTCTAGTGCTGACGCATTGGCTCAGGCTGGAGATCTCCTCAGAGTTCCATTTGTCCTTTGCCCATTGGACGAGAGATCAACTGTGTATGTGTTGTTGACGGTGTTTAAGTCTGGCAGTGAGGGTCCCATCCTGCGCTCCTGGTGGCATGGGCAGCAGGCCCATGAGTCATTCTAGGTGGAGAAGGAGCAGGTAGGGTCCCTGTCCCCTTTCTACCCACTGCTCCAGCTCAAGCCCTGGTGCTCAGGAAGCTATTCACTGGGAGAGGCCTGCATAGCTTTTGGCCATGGCTTCCACTGAGTCCTTTTAGCTCCTTAAATAGCTGGGCCTTGGGACTGTTGTCTGGTGGTCAGTGGGTTCTGACTGTGGAATGACTCACTCTTCTGACACTGTGTTCATAAGTAGTGGAGGGTCTGAACAGGGCTGTGGAAGTGTCGGATGAGAGCCCCGACAGGCTGGGTGTGCTTGTGCCTGGAACACCAGTGGGGAGGGGGCTTCTCTGCGTGACAGGTCTGGAATGAAGGGGTTCCCTAGGAAAGGGGTCTGGGCAGGAAGTGCCTGGAGAACTGGCAGCACATGCAGAGGTCAGGAGGCAATGAGGGTGTAGAAGAGCTCCTCTGGGTGGCCAGAGCTGCACTGGGGACACTCTCCCCAAGAAGGTCTGGTATGGGGATGCAGGAGGCGTCCTGCCCCTCAGCTCTGTCTGATCACCAAGGAGATGTACTCTATCCATTCTTTTGCACATGCGGATGGCCTTGGTTCTTTCCTATCCTGAAAATGATGGTGTGGCAGGCTCATGGTTGGGAACTTGGAAAGTGCGTAACAGTAAACAGAAGACTGCGTGGCCGTGACCTGTGGTCGCAGTCTCTAGCAGCATGTGGGGCTGTTGAGGCCCAGGGCCCGGTGCTGCCACCTTTTCCATCTCCCGCTTTCACTGTCCTGCGCGGCGTGGCACTCGTGTCCAGTCCTCATTTTGGCCACTAGACTGCAGGGTGGTTGTCCAGCATCCCCATGAACCTTCTAAAAATGCCTTCCAATTAAAACACGATTTAGAATACATGGAAGAGGGCTGGAGAGATGGCTCAGCAGTTAAGAGCACTGGCTGCTCTTACAGAGGACCCAGGTTTGGTTCCCAGCACCCACGTGGCAGCCAGCAATCATCCATAATGCCAATTCCAGGGGATCCAACACCCTCTTCTGGCCTCTGTGGGCATTGCACAACAACTGTGCACTTACATACATGCAGGCATAACATTTACATAAAATAAAAGGTTTTTGTTTTTAATACACTGTAGACAACACTGTCCCCTGAGTTCCACCTACTCGGCTGGGTATATCGAGTTTGTCATAGGGAGTCCTTTGCCAGTTACACTGCTCACCACTTTCTCTGCCTTCTCAGCTACCTAAAGCGCATTTTGAAGTGGTTTCCTTACTTGCTGGTCCTGTGCCCATTAATGTGCGATTTTTGTTGTTTGCATAGACTTTGAAGATCTCTTTGATGATGATGATGTCCAGTGAGGCCATTCGGGTGCCTGTGCCCTCCTTACGTGATGTGTTCTGAACTGCTGAGGACAGGATCAGATGGTGTGGAGACCTTGTGAAGATCACTAGTGATTAGGACCTGGTCAGCCAAGGGAGGAGAACTGTGAACACCTGGATGTGCTGATCGTCTCCGAGTGTACCAGCTTTTTGTCCTTTTAAAATTAAAAAAGCAGCACCGTCATATGCAGGGTAACTTTAATTCCTGTGCTTGAGATGAATGTTGCATTCCAGAGTCTCTGTGTGTGCACGCATGTGTGTTTGTATGTGTGCATGAGGGTTTGTATACTGAGAGAGCCATGTCTGTCACCACAGCAAACACATACCATGCTGCTTTTAACATTCAGTTTGTGGTGACTGGTAATGTGCAGTCTGGGAAGCAGTGGGCAGTGAAGGTCACGTTCAGAGCACTTAGAAGACCTGGCTGAAGGTTCCGTCCCTCCCTGTGGCAGCGCCCCACTGCCTCCCTCCATCCCCATGGGCCAGTGCTTTCCTCCAGCCTCCTTATCCCAGCAGCTGCTCTTGCAAACCCTAAAGACCTAAAGCCTCCGGAGGACCACAATAGTGACTTTGCAGGAGATGCTTCTCCGTGAGAAGTGCCTGGGTTGGTCTTTTCAAGGGAGACTCAGTGCCCACGGCAGGACAGCTTTTACAAATTTCTTACTAGCTCAGGTCCATAAGTGGTAATGGCTGTGATGATTGCAGCTTTGGATCAGCCTGAAGGTGAAGGCTGTGCTTTAGAGCAGGAGCTGCCGGGGCCTTGGTTTCCTTATTGGTGAACAGAGATGCTTGTTTGCCGGTGTTGGTGATGCTTGGTTCTGGGATCTCCGGTCTTCAGCAGGTGAGAAGGACCCAAGGAGAGGGAAGCAAGCTGTGTAGTAACTGCTCAGTGTGCAGCCAGGCCCCCAGACCAAAGCCAGCCGTACAAGGCTGTTGGTTGGCTTTAGAATTTGGGCTAGTCCAGTCCAAGCCGCCTCAGGATGGCGATCTGCACACTGTGCCTTTGTCCAAGTCCTTCACACTTGGGCCTGTGTGTGCTTGTGTGCCCACCTTGCCCTTCACAGAACCTGTGTCGCTCTCTCAGTGCTGTGATGGGAAGAGGGAGCGCCTTCACCTTTGACCTGTCAGGCAGGCTCCACTCCAGGTAAAGTGAACTTGAGCTGGTGCCCTGCCTGCTGACGTGTGCTCTTTGCAGTGTCCCATGGGGACTCCTGGGAACAGTTCTGACTGATTGGCCTTCTTTCGGGTCTCACACAGGTTCATAGCCAGTCAGCAGTGGTCATGCGTCTGCTGTGGGAGACTCATCCAACCTTTGAATAAAAGGCCCTTTTCCTGCTCAGCTTAGGGGAGCAGTGGGGACCGCCCCCCCCAACAGACAGCTGTAATTTTTTTGGAGTGTTTTCTCCTAACAGTGTCTTGGGATCCTTGTTCAGCTCCTAACAGAGGTGAGGTGAGGATGCCGGGGAAGCACAGCTTTGTGGAAGGTGGGCCAGTGGGGGTGGGAGTGATATGGCGTTTGGCTCTGGAAAGAACTGGGGCTCTTTGGTTTGGTTTGTGTTTGGGCTGGGCGGCAGGCAAGGGCTCTGGAGGGAAAGCTTCCTTTCCCAGCCTTTACGCTTCTCGTGTTGGGTGAAAGCTCCTGTCTCCTCTGTGGACACTGAACCAGGATCTGCACCACCGTGTGAGAGGAAAGGCCCCGTGCTTTACATCCATGGGACTGGGTGGTGCTAGGGAGAAGGAAGGGACAAGCCTTGGAGTTCTTGACAAACCAGAGCTGAGCCAGTGGCACTGACATAGCTGCATTTTCAGAACGGGGCTGTTACTTGTTTTAGGACTTTGCCTGCTGCGGCTACTGCTATAAGCCAAGAAGTCCCGAGGACAGCTCCCAAAGGAAAAGGCCCTTTGTCCCTGAAGAGGTCAGAGCTGGGCCTGCGGGAGCTGTGCTGTCCTCCACCGTGACCTCCAGGTCCCTGGCGTCAGCCAAGGGTGAAGTCAGCTGAGTCTCCTGCCACAGCCCTCCCTCCCCATGAGATGATATAGGCTGTGTTGAAGCACCAGCCCCAGACCAGCTTTTGTATGTTCTTGGTCAGCACTAGATTGTCCGAGCCACACTGTAGGTTTTGTGTGAATACAATTCCCCTGATGAGTCAGAGCATGCTTTTAAAGGTCGCCGGGTGATTTTTAGGGAGTCAGTGCTGTGAGGTGACGGTCACCTAACAGCAGTAGCAGGGCTATTTAGCAACAGCCACTGTGTTTGAGGGAAGACCTGGCCCCTTGTCTCTGGCATCAGACAGACCATCTGGACACATCACTGTGTTGCTACCAGGTCAGGAGAGGGAGAAGGGAAAGGAGACGGGTACACTGGTTAACAGGGTCACTGGAGCTTGACGCCTGGGTCAAAGCCCAAATGCCCCTGTGTGGTCTGAAGCCGGGTCTGTGCCAGGGCCAAAGGTGGAGTATCAGTGCCATCTCCATCGTCCTGTGGCTACCAAGGGAGTCAGCACGTTTCGTGGATAATTCACAGCACCCTGCACATCCAATCAAGTACTATATGAAAGTTAGGTGCTTTTAGCACATTTATGGATGGCAAGAACTCTGATCTTACACATGGCATTCCCTGTTGTCACCTTGTAGAACCCTGTGGAGGTCCCTGTCTTCTCACTGGACACAGTGATTTGCTGTCTGCCCCAGGTTGTCCAGATTTTGGAGGCACATGGGTGCCAGGCCCTATCTTCATGTCAGGAACTGATCGCTTTCCCCAGAGACCATCAGCAAAGCCAGGTGGCTGTTGGTTTGGAAGTTGCTCTAATGGCAGCGACAAGCCGTTGATAAAATGTCCCAGCCCAACAAGATGCAAACATTAAAGCGAGACCCCTTCCATTGTTGAGGGAGAGGGGAGACGGGAAGACGAAGCCGACATGAGATTGCACCCAGCACCAGAGCACCTGTGCGTACAGAGCATGCCTAGGCAGGTCTGGGGGCAGAAATGAACAGCAGTGCCGTACCAGCTGGAGACCTTTTCTTTATAGCACTGGCTGGGTCATCCAGATAATGGGGAGGGAAAGCTGAATTGACTAGCACAGACCTGTTGTACCTGAGAGGCCTGCCCAGAACATACTGTCACACACATCCTCCCCCGTGCTGGTGGGTGTGTTCTGTTGGTCTCTGTAGAAGATGGATGGCAGCAGTGCTGGCCACGGAAGGGCAGGGGCCGTTTTCCCAGCAGGGCTGTGAAGGGACAGTCCACATAGAGTTCATAACAAAGTATGGAACCAAGAGGAGTGCTCCGCAGCTGAGGAAGTGATGTGTGGTCATCCCACAGGATCCTGCACCCACCGGACAGTGAGCTGGACCTCCCAGCTCGACATGGAGGGGAATCCTCAGGGTCTTTGGGTGAGAAGGGTACAGAGAGGCATGCATTTGCTCATGTTTTTACATGGTTACTGTATTTCTCACTTTTCTGTTGCTGTGATAGAAACACTGACCCAGGCAATTTATAGAAGGCAGAGTTTATTTGAGCCTACGGTTCTGGGGGAATTACATTCCGTCATGGCAGGGAGGCATGGTGGCTGGAGGTGGCTGGAGCAGGAGCAGCAGAAGTGAAGCTCTCACATCATCACACAGGCACAGGAAGCACGGAAGAGAGCGACTCAGGATCTGGCAAGGCTCAAGAATTCTCTAAGCCCACCCCCATGATGTGCTTCCTCCAGGATAGCCACACCTTCTAAAACCTCCGAAAACAGCGCCATCATCTGGAGACAAAATATCCAAATACTTGGAGCCTATGGGGGACATTTTCATTCAAACCACCACAGTTACATGTTCATACAGTATCATACACCATGTGTAAAGGCATATGCTTTTTAGGTGAGTATAGATGGCGTATGCATACACAAAATTCTACCTGTGCTGTCCACCCTAGCCCAAGGAATGTGACTATACACTTGCCTGCATATGTGATTATGCATGTATGTATATGTGAATGTTCTTAGGTCATGCAGCTTTGTGGAGAAGATCAACACATCAAGAAGCCTGTGAAAACCCCAATTGTCAGGTAGGCTGGCACTCAGGGAACAGGTGACAGGTGCTGGCTCCACCTGGGGTGGAACCCTTGCAGGTGGCCCACGGGGAAGAAGGAAGATCCTTAGGAGAAGGTGTGAGGTCAGAGGAGGCTGGAAGGCCAAGGTGGGTGGCCACCTAGGGTGGGCCAGGTGGTCAGAGGCTGGCACCCTGGACAGCTTCCTTCCCAGTCCTGCGGTCTGCCCTAAGCTGGGGTCTTACTGCATTTTCTTCAGTTCCCTGTTTATAGCTAAAACAAAGAGGGAGGGCTGACCATCTGGCAAGGGCTCTGAGCACATGCTTTGAAGGACTAAGTGACTTCATGGATCAGCACTCTGAGCTTGGATTTGTTCTGTTGAGTTCAAGTCAGTTTTCCTTTCCAGTTTTATCTGGATAACCCTGCTATTGCCCTGCATGGGCCCTGCAGTGAGGGTGGGTTTTCCTGAAGAGCAGGTGCTCCAGGCCTTCCTGGACTCTTCGTGCAGCCACTGTTGTCTGCTCAGCCTATACTGTGGCAACATAGGAGTTTCTGTTTTGAAAGTCTGCTATAGGTCCACAGATTGGGGCTTCCAGTAGGGCAGGGTCTGAAATGTCCACAAAACTGGGGCTTCTTGTGTGCAGGGATTGAGAATGTCCACAGAAGCAGGGCTTCCTGTATGCAGGGCTTTTGGTGTCCACAGAACTGGGGCTTCCTGTTGGTAGAGCCTGGGGTGCCCATTAAACTGGGGCTTCCTGTTTGCAGGGCCTGGGGTGTCCACAGAACTGGGCCTTCCTGTTTGCAGGGCCTGGGGTGTCCACAGAACTGGGCCTTCCTGTTTGCAGGGCCTGGGGTGTTTGCCCCAGTCAGCAGTTTTGGGTAGGTATTTGTTTTGCTTAGTTTTTGCTTTTTGCTTCTGTCTATTTTAACTTCAAATTTTATTTTGCTGAGACTTAATTTATACTGTTATTTGGAAGGCTCTCCAGCTGTGCCTAGTACAGTTACATAAATGTCAGAAAAACCTGTAAAAACTCTTGCTGGCAGGAAAACCACCCGACCCACCATGAAAGTAGCATTTAGGGCAATTGTATTTTATTTATTTAGCATCCTACTGATGATCATAATCCCCCAAAGATGCCATTCATTGA